TATTTTTTTTTTTTTAATTTCTTCAAAGGGGAAAAAATATAGAAAATATTTGAAAACCACTGCTTTAATTATCCCTTCAGCATATGTTTAAATGCACGTTGTAATATCATTTGAGAAAGAACAAATTCAGCAATGCATAATGTACTCAGTCTAGCCTTGAGCAATGCCTCTCGGATTTATCCCCATTTATCACCCTGTTAGCGCTTCACAGACTGACTATCAGCTTGAGTGATACTACACGACCAAAGTGTTACGAAACAGAGATGGTGTTTAGTACTGAGGAGTGACAAGGAGATGAAAGAGGGATGGGATAAAAGATGCTAAAAAGGGTGTCCTTGACAGCAAACGTGTCTCTGTGCAGGTTGGAGTTTTTAAAGCTTTTCCAGTATATGGTGGTTATAGCACGCCCGCCTCATATTGCAGAGGTCATGCGTTCAATTCCGAGCCCTGGCCTTGCTGTGTGGAGTTTGCATGTTCTCCCTGTCCCAATCTGGGTTTTCTCTGGGGACGAACAGATTCCAAAAACATGCAGGGTAGGTTAGTTGATCAGTTTAAATTTGCCGTTAGGTGTTATTGTGAGTTCGAATGGCTGTTTGTTTATGTGTGCCCGAAGATTGACTGGCAACCAGTTCAGGGTGTACCCCGCCAACTGCCGGAAGACAGCTGGGATAGACTCCAGCAGATTGTCACCAGTTGCCCATCCCTGCTTTCGAACCAAACAAATGTAAACAACTCCAGTTAGATGAAAGACACATGCATTTACGTACACGAGCAAAGCCTTGGCAGTGCTTTCAACTAGGCTACAGCGTCGAGGTCAGGCCACAGTCAGCACGTTTGTGAAACATGCTTCAAAATCAAAAAATTACACTGAAAACTGTTTTGAGGATCAGATATAACTTGGCATACAGTACTAGGGAGCACCTCTCCATTTTCGATTGGAAATATCCCCTTGAGTTTTGAGACGATCGAGACTATCACAGCTTGAAGCATGAGCAAGGCCGCGCGCATCCAGGACCGATTGACATTCAATTGCTGTGCTGCCGATGTAACCTTCAACAAAAATATTTGCTAAAGGGCTGAATTTTCTTACCTGTGATGCACTATGTATGTGATGATGGAGGCAAAGAGGCAGAGCAGCATGACCGCCGTGCAGGCATACACGACCGGGTGCAAAAACTCCGCTGGGTATGGGGGGAAAGACAGCACCTTCTTCAGATCCTGGGGAATCGAGGCAGTGAAATGGAGATTAGAGGAAAGACGGCAGATTCATGACAAAGAATTTCAGCGGTTTAGTTTAATATGAGGAATGAAAATGAAAAAGTGTTTGGCTTCCATCTTTACAAAATCCCACAAAAGCCACCCCAATGTACGGTTGACAACTACAAGAGAAATATAAATTACCTTCTTGAAATCCATGGAGTTTGAATGCTCATTTCAACTTTTCAACTTTATTTATCGAGCACTTGAAAGCTTGTCTCAGTCTGGAAGACTGAACATAAAACATCAAAAGTAGTAGCAGTAGTAGTAATTACAGTATGTGCTGTCCAAAGCTCTAAAGACAAAGAACACTTGATTCAACATTTCATCCAGGTGCTTGTGTATTGCATTTTGGGAATTCAGTTGACACCCTATGCCGGAGAGGCAGATTGAAAAAAAAAAAAAACCCAAACAACAAAAAACAACGCAACAACAAAAAAAAAAGATATGTTATTTCCTTTTCAAAGATGTATTCTCTCAGCCAGTGGTCATTAAGTATTATCAGCATAGTGCCACTGTGATCTAACTCAAAACACAGCAAACATATTATAATAAATAACATTACGAGGTTTGTATTAGATCTGCTGCATTGGAAACAGACACAATGATGGTTTTCATTGTCACGGACTGATAGTATGCCAAATACTGGACACTGGACTATTGAAGGGAGATAACTACAAAATGGGAAAGTGTATCAAACATTTTTACAGACAAGCCTGTGCTCAGATCAAGCAAGGATGTGACAGTGTTGGTTCCTAAAGGCGAGTCGAGGGATATTAAAACCACTCCACATTGACATTTGGGTTTCATGATGTTAAATTAAGCATACATTATATCCATAGCCCTGTCAGCTCAAGTGACCACATATCCATTTGCATCCCCAAAAGTAAAGTGCATGCAGTAGACATTGTCTATTTCCATTATTATCTGTGAAGGATGAAGCAACATTAGTCTCAATGGCACATCAAGTTTTGGGAAAGCTTGATACTGAGGGAGCAGGTGATTTTAACCGCATAAAATTGATGGACAGTCTCCACAAATGAATCATGTTCTTATAACAGATAACTATTTTCTTGGAAAGTCAAAACAAAATGGCTGGAAACTGCACTGTAAATCGGGCCGAATGGAACGCTGTACTTGTCATTTGTGAATTTAGATGCTCAATGACAAGACACAGCATCAGGCATTCCAACATATCACACAACTTCACACAGTTTGTTAATTAATGTTTAACAAGCAAATATTACGTTTGTATTTACCCTCAGAGCGATGTCATAGAAGGACAATGAAAATTGGTTAATTACAATGATATGCAATGATGTTGATGAAAACCAAATGCCCATGGCACCACCAAGGAAATGTGTTGAAATTAAGATTTTTATTTAGGGGGCTAAATGATGTACGTGAAATCGTACGGAATAATTTAATATGTGAGAAACATGTCTACACAAACATCAAGACAAATAGAATTTTGGACAGCTGAGTTGAATTGCCGAAACAAAATCAATCCATCCAGCTTTGGCTGCTATTTGACCGGAGATAACCCACACCCAGCTCCTTCAGGCGGATCTCAAGGCACCACAGGTCCAGAGGAGCATCTTAATCATTTTTTGTAAGTCAAACCCGGAGTCTCAGCTCATTTGGCCAGTGTAAATTCGAGCTGTATATGTGTATGTGTGGGTTTTTTAATTAATTAATTATTTTTTTTTTGTCAATGTGCTTGTTGAGAAACAGGCACGGAAAGCAGTTAATGGACAACTCAGGAAGTTCTCGCTCGGGACCCTGTTGGGACAAGACTATGGACATCACAGAATATATGTGTTGAAACATTAAGGATAAGGAGTGACGATGTATTTTGACCGGAGAAGACTCTAACGTGTGAAGGGTCCTTTTTTTCCAAAGGAAAAGCTTGGACCAAAAATGAAATATTGTTGACACAGCCTCAGATTCAGAGAGCTGCATAGTCGAAAAGGGGGCCTGGTAAAGTCAGAGGAGCTGTACACACACATTTTATGAAAAAGCAAGAAGCATGAGAGGGAGAACTGTGTTTGGTTTGCTGATTGGTAGCGAGCAGGTTACAGCCAGGCGTGAAGCAGTTAGGATGACTTTACGCATATCCAGCTCCTCCTTGAACGGAAAACTGAATTATTACTGAGTGAGCTACTGCCCCAAGTGAAGGATCTCATCTATCTTGTAGTACGGGTAAAAGAAGAAGAAAAGATCTGTGCCACATCACAAAGAATACCAGGGATGTTCCTTCTCCTTGTGGAGAAGAATGAAGCAAAGAAAATGGAGACAGATCTCAGTCTGAATGGTAGTCTGACTCTCACCATTGTTTCACCAGTATGAGCTCGTGATGGAAATCAGTGACATTCTGTTAATAGAAGGCGGAAGGGTGCTTTCCTCCTGAGCAGTTGAAGTAGGAACAACAATTTAAGAACGACAAATAAATGTAATCAGGATTCACACCATCAGGATATTTGTAATCGATCAACAATAGTTGATCATCGATTCAATCAGAAGATGGAGTAATATATCTATTTAAACTAGACCTTGCGCAATCAGTTTTTGGGGGGAAGATTAGACAAAAACAATTAGATAATAATTTACTGTTAAGTCCCCAAATTCTTCTTCTTCAAAAAACCCAAATAAAACATTAAATATAACAATGTTAAGATCTTCTTCTGTGACTTCTGTGATTATTGAAAAACAAAAGCATGAACATCCCCAGTATTTTAGGTGGCTGGGGCTTTAATTTGCTCCAACTATTAATATCTTAGTTCGACAGCTGGAAACAGTTCCACAGTCCCTTTGTCCAAAGAACCCAATGATTATTTTGTCCGACATTGTTTCTCCAGTGTCCACTTTTTATCTGGCAAGTATGGGACGGAGTAAGCACATAATGTGTAACTTTACAGATTTGGCCCAATCTACGCAACCCGTATTGATTCTAAATGGAATTGTAACAGCTGAAATCATGTTCTGCATGACCGGGGGACATCCCCTTGTTCTTGTTAATCAAAAGTTTAGTGCGTTCTTGGTTAACAGTATAGCTTTTCCGTGCGAGTTCAAACAAACAACACGCCTGTCTGCTGGCATCTGCACAGACAGTGTTTGTGCAATGCATATCTTTCGAGCACTGTTGGACGCGAAATTAAACTGCCCACAACTGATAACTTTTAAACGGAGTTACTTTTAATGCCAATGTCATTTCTGGTCCTGCTGCAGCTGATCTGAATGGATCCATTGGTTGTCACATACTTTTGTGGGTACAATGGCCTCTCACTGAGGTGTTTGTGTACCTCCTTGGACCGTTCAGGTCCTCCTATTTAACTGGGATTTTCAATACACCTTTTGGGGATACATTCATGTAGATTGGCCTTAGACGGATTTTTGCTGCGATGACTACACAATCCAAACTTGTCATGCATTTTTTGTTTAACCCCCCACCCCCCCTGCACCCCAAAAAAAGTTGCATTTGCAAATGACTGATTCTATAGTGTAGAAGAAGAAGAAAAAAAAACCTGTTTCACTGTCTGTGTTGCATTGATCAAAGCAATGCTGCTTGAAGGACTTGGAATAGTTGAGTTGTGCATGGCGTAACTTCCCAAAGCTGATGTCATGTTCTTGGGACTGCAAATTCTTCGAGATTGTATCAACAGTGCCTCTGCTGCGTGTAGTTAGTTATGTAGTGCATAATATTTTGCCCCGGTTGTTTGAGCCTTATTATCCTCAGCATGTTTTGTGTTTTCATATTGGGATTGCTTAAAAGCCATTCAAGCAGCTCTGTGGACTGTTGCCAAAATGGAACTGAAGAGACTTGCATCATCACCCTTGCAGCTTTCTGAAAAGCAGCATTATGAATCAGTTGTGAATGAAGCCCCAGAAGCAGGCGAGGTATACATGAACAGCAGGGCACCCCATTCACACACATAGCATACAGTCAGGATTTACTACCGGATCAGTAGGAGATATTAATGCTTTTAGAGGTTGGTGATCTTTGCAATTTTAAGCAGCAGAGCAGGCGAGATTTGTTCTGATAAAAGGGCTTTCTTGTACATATTTTAAAGTCAAAGGAAATATATATAAATCCACAACATATGTAGCTTGAGCATGACAGATATATTACTCTCCAAAATGTAAACTGATATGCTGACTGATTACTTGTTCTCTAAAATTTTACTGGACAAAAAAAAATAATAATCACAATAATAATAATAATAACAATAATAACGAAAATCTAATTTTACTCCAGGAATGGAAGTCTACTAAACATAAACTCAATGATGCTAGAAAAAAATCTGACATCATTAGGACATTAAAATGCAAAAGGTTCTGAAGCACATACAGCTGACATTCAAGTATTTGGAAAAAAATAAATAAAACAAATCAGACAGTGCTTGTGATGTAATAGTAATGTATACACGACCCACATCCAAATTAGTTGCTGTGTAAATAAGTATTGGGATTCTCTACGACTACTACTACTACGATTACCGTACAACTACTGCCATCACTACCACCTCAGTCACGGCTCCAGAGAGCTTGAGAGAATACATGCAAAGCATTATGGTGTCTAGTCTGACTTTTTTTGTCAACAACACGAACCCACATCGTTTTTCGGAGATAATCGCTGGCGAAGCAGCTGCACTCTCAGGTTCTGCTCCCATCGATTCATGTTGCTAATCTACGGTCTGTGCCAGACAAGATGGATGAACTTCTTCCCTGCACAAGGACCAGAAAAACCTTTGCAAGTTCTGCCGCGCTCTGCTTCACCAAAATTTGAGTCAGCGAATGCATCCGGGACGCCGCGCTACACCTACCTGGCTTCCGTTTTCACCGAGCAGACCGTGTCACAGAACGTTCGGGGAAGTCAAAAGGAGGCAGAATTTGCCATGATATCAACAACAAATGGTGGACTGGTGTCACAGAGCTCAACACACACCTAAGCCTGGACTTTG